TCAATGAAACCGCAGCTCTAGGCGGCGTTTTACTTTATAACCGCTCCTTGGAGGCGCGTTTTTATTTTAGAGAAAAAACCGCTCTTGGGACGCGCGGTTATAGGCTAAACCCTACCACAAAACGCTGGTAGAGGGAGCGTTTAAATGTCGGCATTACAAACCGCCTGAGAAAGGGGCGGTTTACAATGTCAGGACACAAACTGTCCCTTGAGGCGCGGTTTGTGCCTGGTCACCCGACACCCGACATGTCCAACATGTCGGCATGCAGGGGTAGGGCTGCATGGCAGACATAAAACCGCTCCCCCCCCCCCAAGCGGTTTTGGTGCAAAATTTGCCTATAAAAGGCTGTTTCGGAGAACACAATTCTTCACACTTCCTTCCTCAAATTTCAGCTTTGCACCTTTAAATTATTTAGTTTTTGCGATTAACGTTAATTCGTAAGTTTGTTTCGTAATTACTTTTCATTGTCTTTGTGATTTTATGTTAGTAACTTAATTACTTTTGATTGTCCTTTGTGATGTTATGTTAGTAACTTAATTACTTTTGATTGTCCTTTGTGATGTTATGTTAGTAACTTAATTACTTTTCATTGTCATTTGTGATTTTATGTTAGTAATTTGAATTACTTTTCATTGTCCTTTGTGATGTTATGTTAGTAACTTGTGTTACTTTTCATTGTCATTTGTGATTTTATGTTAGTAATTTGAATTACTTTTCATTTTTCTTTGTGTTGTTATGTTAGTAACTTGTGTTACTTTTCATTGCAGATGGCATTCCAAAGGTTCGCGCTTGGGTTGCGGTGGAATGGTTACACGGAAGAGACCGAAAAGGGTGTAAGTTACGTCGGTGGCAATTTTCATAAAATGAAGGTCCGTACGAGACCGATGCTTGAAGAGCTCCACCGAATGTGCACTCAGATTACCTGCATGGATGGCAGTAGAAGAGTTGATCGAATGGTGTATCGATATCCAAACAGACATGACGGGTCGCTGTGGCATGAAGAATTCCTCCTTACCACTCAGGAGGACGTTGATGCCATGGTCCAATTTTTGACCACCAATACAATTAAGCAAGCGGAGATGTTCGTTTACACCGAGGCCGTCGAAGGCAGTGTAGGTCATTCTGGAGATGGCCAAACATCTGGTATCCACGGTGGGAGTGTATTATACGAAGATCTCCCCACCAGGATTTCCAAGCCTCGAGTTGGAGTCAGGAGTATCATCATGGAACTGGAGGAAGTCATCAATCCTTCCATTCATATGAAGAAGAAGCTCAACAGGCGGATTACAACCAACAAGCAGGCTACCAGTACCCACCCGAGTACAACTTCTATCAAAGCGGTGTTAGTTACCACAACTACCATTACGGAGCTAGGAGGTCAAGGTGCCTTTCATGCTGATAATCAGATGGAAGAAGAGGTCAATCCAAGTCCAGTTAGTGACCTGAGGTTGAAGAAGAGGAAGGCGAAGTTAGTGCAGACAGCTCCGATCCGCTGGAAGGTGCTGATGATTCCGGTCCAGATTCAGACGCAGATGGTGATGAGGTACCTCACGACCGTGTACCTATTCCATACTACAATCACATTCAAAGTGAAGATTGGTATGTTGATGCCGACATGGACCCGCCAGATGTGCCATTATGGGGTCCACTAACTGGCTTTACGAAGGGCCAACAATTTGCAACGAAGAATGAGGTTCGACACGCTATTTCCACTGAAGCAATGACTCGGAGTTTTGAATGGCAGACAACCCATTCCGACACAAAGAGGCTGATGGTTCGATGCAAAACCACAATGAGGGATGCACAGCTAGGGTCCGGGCCATCAAGAGCAAGAGAGTCGGTCATTGGGTCATATCCCGTGCGGTGAACACACACACATGTGTGTCATCAATAACATCCCAAGGCCATCGACAGTTGAAATCAAGGGTGGTTGCCGCGGCTATCAAACATCTAATTGAGGAGCAGCCGACCTGAAGGTGAAAACCATCATCGCCCACATTTCTAGTCGTTATGGTTATATCATTAACTACAAGAAAGCGTGGCATGGGAAACAGAAAAATGGCTGCCGTGTTTGGTGACTGGGAAGAGTCATATGCATTCCTTCCCAAACTGATTTTGGCGTTGGAGGTGTCTAACCCTGGAACCATTTTCTCGCCTCGCTACCAAGATGAAGAAATTCAATCGCCGGTGGCTGGTAACAATCGCCAATTCAAGCGTCTTTTCTGGGCCTTCAAGCCATGTATTGATGGTTTTCCATACTGTGTTCCTGTGATTCAAGTTGATGGAACATTCCTTACCGGCAAGTACAAGGGTACTCTACTGATCGCCAGCGGAGCAGATGCAAATAGATTAGTATATCCATTAGCCTTTGCCATTGTGGAGGGATAGAATACCGATAGCTATGGATGGTTCTTCAGACAAATTCAGCTCCATGTCACCAGACGGACGAACTGACTATCATCTCAGATCGCCACGCCGGTATACGGGCTGCTATTTTAGGCTTGGATCCAGCCTGGAACTGGTCACAGAGATGGTGCATCCGGCATTTCAAGAGCAACTGGAACCATCATTTCAAGCGAAAGAAGCTTGCTGACAGTCTATGGTGGATTGGTAAGCGTTCTAATTAATTGTCTATCTGTAAATTTTTAAAACTGTATACAAGTATTGAGTGTATGGTTACAATACAACACTTATTTAGACTCTTTATAAAGAAATGCATGTCTAAGGAAATGGGGACTTAAGCGATCATCATGATCCCCCCATGACCTGGGAAAATCGGGTTCTAAGCGATCCTCGGATCCCCCCCTTTTTCTGTCAAAAAGACTGTGTTTCTAAGGAGATGTATACCTCTCCTAAGAGTCTTACGAGTGTACTTGTATTGGCAATAAGGTCGATCTAGCTTTTCTCACGTTTTTTTTATATTCATCAGTTGTCGCGTACCAAGAGAAGAAATTTAAAGAGAAGATGCAGAATATCCGTCAAATATGCCCTGAAGGTGCGCAGTGGCTTGATCAACATGACCTTGAAATGTGGACTTTTCATAAGGACGGAGGTCACAGATGGGGTATTGCCACAACAAACTCAAGCGAGAGTATCAACAACGTCTACAGGGAATGTCGTGCACTCCCCATCTCTGCAATTGTTGAGATGACATTCTGGAAAACAAACAGATGGTTCGTCAACCGTCTCCACTGGTGTGAGAAGAGGGAGGCACTCGGTAAGGTACACTCCGATTATGTATTGAAAATAATGGAAAAAGATAATCGGAAGAGCTCTCGTCACACAGTCACTGTGATGAACCGACATGCTGGCGAGTATTCGGTCGAGACTGGGCACTGGGAGGATGGGAGACGTGGTGGTCATCGCCATGAAGTCACCATAAAATTTAGGACTAAAAAGGGGGAGTGCTCTTGTCAGAAGTATCAGGGTAGAGGGATACCATGTTCTCATGCAATGGCTGCAATAAAGCACAGGAGCAAAGACCCTCGTCATTTCGTTAGTCCGTTCTTCAACATTGACTCACAAAAGAGCAGTTATCGTACTAGTTTCCGTGCATTGCCGGATGAAGCTTACTGGCCAGTTTATGAGGGTATGGTCATCATTCCACCAATCGGTCTTAGGCGGGAAACAGGGCGCCCGCGGAGAAAAAGGATTCCAAATGAAATGGATCAAAGTGGAAGACCACCGCGAGGGCCAAGGCGGTGTTCCATATGCAAAGTACCCGGTCATGATAAACGAAAATGTCCCGGACCAATTGGTCCTCAAAATGCTGGGCCCGATGTGGTGTCCCGGATAATGGCGCTTAGATTGATTTTTATGCGTGTGTTCCATCTTTGTGTATTAATTTCAATGGTTACTCTACTTGTATGTTGTGTGCTTAAATGACATTGGAGATTTGCACAATTAACAAACTTTGGTGCAATTTTTCCATCTTTTTTAATAAAACACATCACGAACACAAACGCACTACTTTGTTCAACTTAAGTTAACTTGTACCATAACTTCACCTAAAAACACCATTGTTCAACCTAATTTAAACAAAACATAACTTGAATTAGAAACACCATTGTTCAACTTAATTTAAACAAACACCACAACTTGAAATAAAAACACCATTGTTCAACTTAATTTAAACAAACACCACAACTTGAAATAAAAACACTCATGCATTGTTTCGACGGTTTGCCCTCTGCTTCCTTGTGCGATGGGCGACTGGTCCACCGGGTGTAGACGATGGTGGAACGGGTGGCAGATTCCTATTCGTCGTAGAAGCGCGATCTTCCGTGTTATGCCTCCATGGTTCCGTGATAGGTGGCCCCTCCGTCTGCGGTCGAGGGCTATCCATGCTCATACGGTGGGGAGAGGATTGCCATTGTTGTTGTGGTCGAATCCAAGGTGTGAAGTCTTGTTGTGGAGTGGATTGCCATTGTTGTTGCCATTGTTGTTGTTGCCATTGTTGTTGTGGTCGATGCAAAGGTGAGAAGTCTTGGTGGGGACTTGAGTATGAACCCTCGGCCCAAGTAGCTGAAGATGTGCCGTCATGAAATGTAGTTGGCCGTTGTTCATACTGGAAACTGGGCCGGAAAGTGTACTGGAAACTTGACCGCGGATCACACTGGCTTCCGGGCGTAGGGCCGTACTGAGTACTCCCCCCTTCACCGCTGCACACCTCCAAAGGAGTAGGCGCCTTCCACGCCTCGATCGGTTTGATCTCCGGCACGTGAGGTCGATCCCTCACAGCTTTGTTTTGCCTTCTATTGACCGGCGGAGGCACCGGGTCAACATCAAGCGTCACCGGCGGCGGTCTCACTGGGGGAACGGGAGGGTATCGCCTATGGTCACGTCCGCGCGCTCGCATACAACCAAGGAGATTGTTCGCTATCCTTCGAATCATCCCCACCTCTCGACCCGCCGCCGAATGATCTGCGGTCCGTGCGAGGTCGTGGATTCGCTCGATGCCATCAACCTAAATCGAACAAAATAACAAAGTTAGACATTTAAAAAATAATGCACCGCATGACTAAACAAATAAAAACTTAATTTCTTACCAAAGCTCCGTCCGCCGCTCCTTCGGGGGTCATGTAACGAACAGATTGTCTTCGGTAGGTTTCCATGTATGGGTCATGGTAGCCCATCCGCCCCACATGAGATGCCGTCACAATATCCTGATCTTGCCTAACATTCCACAGCCGGATCAACGGCTTATACTCCTTCGGCCAATTAGTAGGTCCTTGTCAACCATCTTTCCCGTGGTACCCCTTCTGACTCTCCGGGACATCCAATGGTATGCATTGCTCACGTCCAAATTGTCGTAGACATCGATCCGGCAAGTGCCACTCCACTATGTGGTGGCAGATTAGTGGAACTCGGGTGCACCATTGACCGGGATGTAACGGGAACTTATGGACGTGATGCGCAACAATCCGTTCTGGATACGGATCGAACTTAAGCTACGAAGGTTTAAATAATAAAACCATTAAGCAACATAATAATATAAGTTAAAAAAAGTAGGGTTTTAATAGCGTATTATGATGCTCACCTCTGCTTCCCATAGGTGATCAAGCCTCCTACGATACTCCTCCAGCTTATGCGCTCCTAGTTGTCGCATGTTGTTTCATCAAGCCACCTATTAATATGGACAAGTACACAATGTTAGTACCTTAAAAAATCGTTAAACAAACTAAATTAGTAAAAAAAAATGTGAGAACTATGAGTGGGATAGAAGATATTTACCTACAACCATAAGCTTCGTGTCGTAGGGGATGATCGGGTCCCCATTCCTTGTCGGGGTCTACCTTCGGCGCAATCCATGGCAAATGCTCCCAAGCCCAAAATTGGACGATGAACATTGCCCCATCAATCTCCTTCACCGCTCTCGCACTAGCATTACATAGGGATCGGTAGAGCTGGGCTAGGCAAGCAGATGCCCAGCTCAAGTTTCCCATATCATCCCAACTACCAAGTATGATCTTCAACCATGAATTGCTGATTAGGTTGTTGGATTTCTTGGGGAAGAAAACTCCTCCGATCATGCCGAGGATGTAGATACGTGCATAAATGTCTTTATCGCGCTCCGAACTTTCCTCCGTGAGGGGAATGCCTCCGAACTCAGGGTTGTGCTTACGCCTGATCTCCGCGTCAACCACGTGATGGATACTTGCCCTTGGACAATGGTGGATGACCATCCGCATCGTGATCTCCCTTTTCTGGCGGACACAACCCGGTGACCGTCCATATAAAATGTTGCCAACCACTCATATTGGCAACAACTTTAGGTGGTGCGTAGAGTCCACACAAACAACATCACCATCGATGGGGAGATCGGTTAGGATGGCGATGTCCTTAAGTGTGATGGTGCACTCGCCTTCACGAAAATTGAAGCAGTGTGTCTCCTTTCGCCATCTCTCTACCATCGCCGTGATGAGTTGGCGGTCGATCTTAATTCCATTGAAATGCCTAATCGAATCCAATCTTGCCCTTTTTAGAAAGGGCAAGATGACGTCGTTCCATTCAAGCACATTCGTTGTGCCCCTATAGCGGACTATATGGTATGCATCCTAGAGAAAATTAAATTTCACTATAAGTTGATGATTTATACATATATAAATATATTATAAGATACAATTTATATATAAATCAAGGTTGTTTTAGAGAAATATACATTATCTAATAAAAATTAATTTTAACATAAATAAAATAATTTTCTAAGATGCAATATTAATTAAATCAAGCGATTTTATAGAAATATACATTATCTAATTAACATTAATATTAACATAACTAAACCAATTTTTTAAGATTCAATATTAAATTAAGCGATTTTATAGAAATATACATTATCTAATAAATATTAATATTAACATAACTAAAATAATATCCAAATATATTATTTTGTTAATCGTATTGATTATTTTCAATAATTTAAAGCAATACAAGTACACTCGTAAGACTCTTAGGAGAGGTATACATCTCCTTAGAAACACAGTCTTTTTGACAGAAAAAGGGGGGATCCGAGGATCGCTTAGAACCCGATTTTCCCAGGTCATGGGGGATCATGATGATCGCTTAAGTCCCCATTTCCTTAGACATGCATTTCTTTATAAAGAGTCTAAATAAGTGTTGTATTGTATTGATTTAAATTATTGAAAATAATCAATACGATTAACAATTAAGTAAATTATTGTACAAACAAATAAATTACTTTAACAAAATACAAATTACAAGTGATGATAAATAATATGTACCTTGTGGTCGTTCCAAACGTCTATTGAACGATGATTTGCTTGATCGTATAAAACTGTCGGATCAATCGGTCCTTGCTCAACATAATATTGTTGATTGAAAATATCAACATCCGGCCCAACCTACGATAGCATAACAATAACACAAATCATTAGTATATAAATTAAATAAATCATTATAACAACAACAAACAATTGGGAAAAATTAGTACGTACCGTTTGATAATCATAAAAAAAGGCCCTCTTCTTGAGCGAAATCGTTCATTCTCTCGGAATCCGGACAGAGGTTCGACGATTTTTTAGTGAAAACCAAAGAAAAGTTTTTTGGAGGCAGATCGGACTTAGGCCGCAACCAACAAAAAAACCTTTCTAAGGTTTTTGGGTGGGGAGGGGAGGGGAGGGGAGGGGAGTGGAGTGGATAGGGAGAGGGGAGGAGAGGGGGGAATGAGGTTGGTGTGCAGAAAAGTGAAGGGGGAGGGGGGTTTATATAGGGTCTAAACCGCGTCCCCGAGGGCTGATCCGTCAATTTTCCCCAACGAAAACCGCGCCTCAGGACGCGGTTTGCTTCTCCCGAACCGTCAACCGCGCCTCGGGGACGCGGTTTCATTTTCCCGAACAGTCAAACCGCGCCTCGGGGACGCGGTTTACTTTTCCCGGACAGTCAAACCGCTCCTCGGGGACGCGGTTTACTTGGCCGACGCGGATCGCTTAGCTGGCACACGTTTTGGCCGTTAGACCGCTCTCCTATCAAGCGGTTTGATGAAACGCCACGTGGACAAGCGGTTTGACAGCCATCCAAGGTCAAACCGCTGCTTGGTTACGCGGTTTGTGATAAAACCGCGCCTCTAGGCTGTGGTTTCATTGAAAACCGCTCATCAGGGGGGCGGTTTTAAATAAACGATGGTATTTTTGGAAATTATTTGGTGAGGGTGGTATTTTTGGAAAAAAAATTTAAAACAGTGGTAGTTTTAACCAAACAATTTCTCTCTATCTTTTCCACAAACACTTCGTATTTCTAATTTTCAATGCAAATTCGAGTCAACCAAGAGATATAGAGTTGACTTGACGAACATTGATAAACTTGTTTTCGGAGTCAAATGGTCAAACCCCGAATAATGTCTACATTAATGATATTTATAAAAAAAGAAATTGATAATATTAATTATTATATAATTATATATAACACAATTAGAAGAAAAAAAATTCCATAATTTCTCCCTCCCCCTCTCTTCCTTCCTTCTCTTGCACCCCAATTTGGGGGGTAAGCCGAAACAGTAAATTTGCACTCCCGTTTTGCACCCCCTATTGTTCCAAATTAACCAAACAGGTGCAAATGTGTTGGAAATTGTGTTTACCCCTCACATTTGCACCCTCCTCCCATTTACTCCTCTTCCCAAACAGAGTGATAGAGACCATGGTTGAGCCATTTACTCCTCTTCCCAAACAGAGTGATAGAGACCATGGTTGAGCCATTTACTCCTCTTCCCAAACAGAGTGATAGAGACCATGGTTGAGCCATATAGTGGGGCCAAAAAAAATACAACGACCATCATCTGACACAATCTTCTATATTTTTCAATAGATTTCCAACTTTCATTCATTTAAAGTGACCCACCAACTCTTACAAAAAAAAATAAAAATAAATGACCAACCAAGCAAAGGGGTCAAAGTATTACCAATTATTCTATATCTTTATCACAAATTTCACGTGTAGTTTTAACTACAATTTGTAAGTTATATGATTTATTAGAAACTCAACGACTCATAGAAAAGTTTTCTTCAATAAGAAATTGAAGTTTTGAGCTAAAAAATACAATAGTTGTTCAATCAATAACAATCGATACGGGTTTATATAAAAATATAATTTGTAAGTTATATGATCTATTAGAAACTCCACGACTCATAGAAAAGTTTTCTTCAATAAGAAATTGAAGTTTTGAGCTAAAAAATACAATAGTTGTTCAATCAATAACAATCGATACGGGTTTATATAAAAATATACTTTTGAATGCAGAAGAATACATCCTTGCATCGGGAACCACTCCATGTCTCGAAGTATCACGCGTTAGAAATATTGATTAATCATAACTTATTAACGATGTATTTTTACCCAAAAGGGGAAAATTAGCCACAACGCTTCCAAATATGACCAACTTTACCCTTCTTCGAGACTTCAACTTGAATTTCTTTTAGCATATCCCACATAACGTGAACATCACTGTACTTGGAAGCTTTCACATCTTGATGCAATTTACTAATCCCTGCTTTAGTTTAAACATGTTAAGAGCAAAAAAGGAAGAAAAAAGTCATGGGAAATTATATCGATATAAAAATTATATAAATATCATATGATTTAATTAACACATTTAAATGGATTTTTCAACATTATATAATTATTCTGAATATATTAGTTCAGATGCACATATTATGATATTAATGATTCAACAATCTAATACAGGAAACATTTTAAATTTATGTGTTATAAAGAAAGGACACATTTTCTTTTCCCCTTCCTTTATTATCATCATCACTTAAATAATCAATCTAAAATTTATAACAAAATTGAATTATTTATCACCATGATAAATAAGTATATTTCACTTTCAGAAAAGTACTCAAGGAAGAACATATGAAAATCGTAACACTTCTTGGGTATATTATAAGTTTTTCTACGAACACAATTGATTGGGCAAGTCACCATAACTTGGAAAATACGGTCGACCTCTTTCATTAAGTGGTCGACCTTTTTCCAAAAAAACGGTAGACTTCTTCCACCAAATGGTATACTGCTTGAGTCATCCGGTATACCACTTCTAGAAATAGGTCGACTCGATGACACTCTTACATTCAAGTGGTTGACCTCTTCCACCAAGTGGTCTACCACTTGTGTAAATCGGTCTACCACTTCCGGAAATGGGTCGACCTAATGACACAATTACCTTTAAGTGCTCAACCTTTTTCACCAAGTGGTCGACCACTTTCCAAGAAAATGATTTACCACTTCCATCAAATGGTCTACCACTTGAGGCAACCGGTCTACCTCTTCTGGCAATGGGTCGACTTGTGACACACTTACCCTCAACTCACACATGCATGATGGAGGAGGTAGACCGCTTCTGCTAAAACAGTCTATCGATTATGCAAAATGGTTTACGTACCTCTTTCGGCGAACGAACTCCGCTTCAGCAAACGGACGACTAGCATTAGGAAAATAATGGACAATAGGAGACCAGCAATATAAAATTATTTTGTAGTAACGCAAGATCCTATCACCTGTGGGCAACTAAATCCCTGTGCAGATTGTAGGCCAAGACAAAACCTATTTTAACTCTTATGAAATAAAAATCTACAAAAGCGATGATATGATATTTATGCACGTTGAAGATGACACAATCGTATAACAGATACACTCTACTTTCTTAGCATCTTCATAACAACAATAACAACAAAGTTGATCCATCACAAGACAACTATAAGATAGAAACAATAAAACTTAGAATTTGGATGAAAGATAAAAGTCTCTATAAAGTAAGTCAAATACAAGAAATAAATATGCGGAACATTTTTTGAATCTATGGGAGAACAATCACTTGAGAAACTTGTCATCTATGCTTGCAATCTTTGTACTAATTTTAAATCTCTTACTAGCAAGCATATCTATTATTATTGGACTCTAATTATATATAATGATATCACTAGCAATGGTTCATTAGGTGGACCAGTTATTGAAAGAAGTAGACCGCTTGGGAAAGAGGTAAACCGCTTGATGGAAGTTGTAGACAAATTTTTGGTATAGTGCACACCTTTTAGTGGGAGAGATTGACCGTTTGTTGAACATAGGAAAATGGAAAATAGTACATCTGGTCGGCCATTCAATAATGAGGTCGACCATACCAGTGAAGAGGTTGAGCGTTTTGTCCAAATAGGTTGACCATATAAGTGAACAGGTCGACCGTCTTGTCCAAGTCATGGTGACTTGCAAGTCACCGTAGCAAAGTCCTAATTGATTATTTCCGGGAAAAAATTTCAAGACGACACTACAAAACACATCCTTAATGTTTAGATATGAAATTTAAGTTTTCACTTAAGAGCTCGTTTGCTTGTTGGATTTGAAAATGAAGTTTTTAGTTTTGAAAACCTTTGGATTTATAATGAATTTGTTCCATTTTGTA